GAAGAAGAAGAAGAAGAAGAAGAAGAAGAAGAAGAAGAAGAAGAAGAAGAAGAAGAAGAAGAAGAAGAAGAAGAATGAACTGTTGCCTGGCGCCTATTGGTCGAGGGAGGATTCATCAAACCAATTAGAGGATACACAACCTCCAGTTTCCAAAGCTTCTTTGAAAACGTGCTCTCCCCCCTCCCCACACCATTTCTCCTGGGTTTTTCACCCCTCTGCCAGTTTAATTTTAGCTCGGGCAAATACTTCAGCTTGCCTTGCATATCACACGCCAAAATCAATAACTCCTCATCAAGACAGGCTCCGAAGAGTGGGCGCAAGAGGTTCAGAACACATTCGGAGACCTGATTTTCCCCACAATTACGAGATCACAAAGTGAAGCTCGTCTCTCTCTCTCTCTCTCTCTCTCTCTCTCTCTCTCTCTCTCTCTCTGTCTATCTCTCTCTCTTCTCTTTCTCTTCTCTCTTTCTCTCTCTCTTATCTGTCTCTGTCTCTCTCTCTCTGTCTGTCTCTCTTTCCCTCTCTTCTCTTTCTCTCTCTCACTTCTCTCTCTCTGTGTGTCTGTCTCTCTCTCTTCTCTTTCTCTCTTTCTCTTCTCTCTTTCTCTTTCTTTCTCTCTCTCTTATCTCTCTCTCTCTGTGTCTGTCTTTCCTCTCTCTCTCTGTGTGTGTCTGTCTCTCTTTCTCTCTTTCTCTTCTCTCTCTTCTCTCTCTCTCTCTCCTCTCTCTCTCTGTCTCTCTTTCCCTCTCTTCTCTTTCTCTCTCTCCTCTCTCTGTGTCTCTTTCTCTTCTCTTTCTCTTCTCTCTCTTTCTCTCTCTCTCTCTTATCTCTCTCTCTCCTCTCTCTCTCTCTCTCTCTCTTTTCTCTCTCTTTCTCTCTCTCTTATCTCTCTCTCTCTCTCCTCTCTCTGTCTCTCTCTCTCTGTGTCTGTCTCTCTTTCCCTCTCTTCTCTTTCTCTCTTTCTCTTCTCTCTCTCTCTCTCACACACACACACCTTGCCCTCTTCTCGTCCGACTCTAGCTTTAGCCCACTCTCACAAAACTCAAGAAGAGTTTGAAAACTCGGGCGATGTGGGGGTTTTTTTACTTTGTTTTTACACAGTGGCAACTTTTGCCCCCAGTGATTTTGTCCCCAAAAACCAACCGGGTGGATTTCTGGAATTATTAATTGGAGGGTGTTTCAACCCGTTGTGAAAGGATAGAAGAGAAGATTGGTAGCTCAGGGTTGAACAGTGGATGTCCTGGGTGCTCCTTGAGCCTTTTGTGGCCCATCAGCGGCCAGTGGAGCTGGCAGCAGACTCGGACAGTGAGGAGGTTGGGGAGGAAGATGGGCCAGTCCTGGAGTCTGGGGAAGGCTCTGAGGAGAGCTCTGTGTCAGAGGCAGAGAGGGGGCCAGGGCCGTCTGACAGTTATCAGCTGCCTTCAGAGTCAGACATCAGTGAGGCAGAAGAACAGCTGGAGCCTCTTCCCAGTGTGCGCATGCGCAGAGTTGCCAGATGAAGGGAACAGCTAAGGAAGAGGGGTAGACTTGGGAGTAAAGGCCACAGGTGGACGGTGAATGGCCCCTCCCAGAGGAAATAAAAGAGGAGCGAAAGGGGAGTGGAGT